CCAGCATGTGATTTTAGAGCTGAAATGGTATGAACATTTTAATCATAATTATCATGACCACATTTATAATGGATACAAGTATTATCGCAGCATGTGCTGAAAATATTCAGAAAGTACTGGCACACACAGAAATAATATCATTATTATTAACTGCACACACACGCAGAGCCTATCGTCTTTGTTGCACATGAATACATGAAATGTCCCCATGCCTAACATACTTCAATTTAAAGAAAATTACAAAATTTAAAAAGACAAAGGTACAGTATTAGAGTGTTTACTTTTTCTGCTTCTGTTAAAGTTTTACTTTACAAATGATTTGATGACTATCAGACTTTAACAAAATATGTTGGTTGTGTGACTAAACTATGTCACGTTATTTTGTAAAATGGGGCGAACTGAGAGTGTAAACACGACACAAACAGCAGCAGAACAATGTGTAGTGTTCGGTGACACTGAAAGCTTCTGTTTACATTATTTACACATTTTTAGCAAGTTTCACAGACAAACTGGAACATTTCCCCCCATTCCAAAATCCCCACATTATGCATTGAGTAGAAAATTAATGTGACTTGAAATCCCCCTTTCACAGCGATTTCGCTGCCAATTTAAAAAAAATCATATTTACTGAAAACAGTGGCCTACTGTGCGACCACAGCTGTTTAGTTGTTTGACCGCAAAAGAAGCTGAAACTTACACTAAAGAGAAACTACAGATTATTTATAATAATCATAATAGTAAATATTTACTGCCTTTCACTTTCTTTTGAAACCAACTTGGTATATTCTTATGATAAACAGCAGCATTAATGATAATAAGTTGAACAGCCTTTTCCTCATTCACATCTCTGTGTGTTGGTAAATTTACTCCAGGTTTTCTTGTCAACTGGAGCTGCACCAATACCAGTCGCTTCCGTCCCAGTTCAGCTCCACCAGCCTGTTTCCCACCTGGGTGAATGGGAGAAGCACTTCAGTCCAGGATTTCATCATGCGTCTCGACCAGTACAAGACTCAGCTTACTGGAGTTCTGACTATGAACATGGACCTGCAAGGCTCAATGAAAAATGGGCCGACGTCACCAACTACAAGCTCTTCATCCCTCCTCTCCACAGAAGGCCTCACAATGCGCAGAGTTTGTCTTAATATGCCAAATGCTGCAGACACTGGAGAGGCCATCAGCAGCTTCTAAGAGCTTCTCATAGGCTTCTGTCGCAGAAGCTACTGCTCTGAGATTCAGGCGGACTGATTTTACATCCAGGAAAATATCCGGTTACACCCTGAGGTTTAGATAATATTAAGCAATGGTATTAATTTACCATATTTACACTGTGTATACAGTATTTGAAGTCTTTAGCTACAATCAGAAGAGTCCTCAGACACAGCACGTCTGCAGGCATAAACAAGTGCATTTAAACTTACCACATGCACCCAGACAGTCATGTACAAACTTGAATTATAGGATGTTACAAACAAAAATGTGCACTTGAAGTAGCATGGTTAAAATAGTAGAGTGAATTTTTTGGGTGGAATGCAGTCAAACCAGTAGTTAAACAGAGCGTTTCTGCTGCATCTGGTGATGAATCTCTGCTACTCGAGCAGTGAAGGAGGGAATCTCTGTTTGCCAAAGATAGTTACTCCATTTATTATATGCACACGTCAATGCATTGTTCTGAAGAAAACAAAACAATATCTCTTGTGTTTGTTGTTTGTTTGAATGTCTAATATTTCTTTACACTTATTTATATGAGAAACACAAAAGTGCTTTTCTCTTTCTCAGTTGTAGAAGCTTGTTTCTATCATCTTGATTTACTTTGTTTTAAATTTAAATCTGCATTTATGGATTCCTTTTTTTATGTGAGCTTTGATTTTGATGTTACTTCTAATTCTTTAACATGTGAATTGTGATTAATCAGTCAAAACAATCAGTTAAATCTGAGTTGCACTTTCTTATTTGAGGTCATTTTTTGACGTCACTCAAGTTCTTAGGTAATAACCTACCTGTGGTAAAATATTTGTCTTGTGCTCTGTTTGGAGAAACTATAACTATGATCAAGCTCAAACTTGTGCCTTAAATTTCAATGAAAAAAATGCCAAGTGAATTTAACATGTTCTCAAAATGTTGCAGGGAATCATATTATTGTGATCATGAAATAAACTGGCAGTGTTAAACAGTAACTTCAGCTTTTTTCATTGCAGTAAATGCTCAGGTTCTCAGCGATCAGTTACACAACAGTGATACTCACATTACCCAGAAAACCTGTGACTTGTAAAGAGAAGTGCACACAGCACAGGGAACAGGACATAACAGTAATCAAACAGGGGATCAGGGACCTGAGGTGTTCTTGGGAGGTGTCCAGAGGATCCCATCCAAATGACAAATATCTGATGTTGATTACTGACGTGAGGATGAAGCACAAATAATGCAGCTCTCATACTGAAGGCTACAGTTTGACAACAACTGAAAAGGTAAAATAGATAAAAGGTAACAAGGCAGCAAGTGTGGAGTCTAAAAATCACCAAGTCAGGCGAATATAAATGAAATGAGTTTGTGATTCATTGTACTTATATCATATAAAAATGAAGAACTGTGATGGTAAAACCAACTTTTAAAAAAAAAAATAAATATAACTAATGGAAGACTTGAGGAAGATGTTTAATCGCTTATTTCAAGCTTTGATATTTGGACTTCACAGCTTTGATATCAGTTTGTAGCTTTTTTTTTACAATGTGTGTTTAGAAATTAAAAATTAAGCCTTGAGATAAACTTGGTGAGGCATATTCTACAAACCCTATAAATAAATGTTGTGGTTATTTATTCTGTTTTAGATTTAACTGTTTTTATTTGGCCTAAGTTATCGACCCCCTCTTTCAGGCCATTAGAAGTTCTTGTCTAACAAACAAATCTATTAACTTAATGGATTTAACATGGAGCCATAATGACAAGATTCGATTAATTAGAGACAAAGCAGTAAACAGTTGTCGTACTGTCCTGTCAACAGCAGAGACACATCAGGGGATTCCCCTCATATCTAACAAAGCATCAGCTGCATCTGTTGTAAAAGCTGTTCATCAATGTGTCTTTGGCAAAAGCAGAGAGGAAATAAACAATTCTGCTACAAAAACTAAATATTATGCGTTGAAGTGGATTTGACATTCCCAGAGATTTTAAAGTACAACACAGTAAATAACACTACCTTTTAGTGACGTCAAGGAAATATCATTTATGTTTGCAGAGATTGTATTCATATTTTGTTAAGTCTGCCTCTGGAGTGTTAATGTGAACAACATGTCTCCAACTTTTTGAATTAACATCGTAGCTTAGTTTATTGATGGTATTTGCAAAATCTATTACGAGCTGCTTTAAAATACATAATATATAATATAATTTGCATATAAATAAAATGTGACAATGTCCCTCCCAAGTTTTAAGAATACAAAATGTATTAGAATGTATTGTACCATAAAGTATTGAAAAACTACCTACTACGTTCTATAACTAAGTATTGTTGTCGTAGGTTATATTATTATATATGATGTATGTCACATATATAATGAGTTATTTGTCTTATTCAGACTATGTAGGTTCATTCTCACATGTGCTCCTTGTTTGTTTTGCTCTGTTGTTATCGGCTGATAACTTGTTGTGTAGAGTGAGTTGCTTGTAACCCAGATTCAAGGAAAGAGGAGAAAAGACCATGCTTTCCTCTGGAGGACACATTTCCGAGCAGCACCTAAAGGCAGCATGTGGCTGCCACTCAGACAGAAGTTGGTCCAGAAGTTCACCGCTTCAGCTTCACCGAGTCTCCACCAGGCGGCGCAGTCCGGGGGAGGAGAGGCTCAATCCAAACCCTCCACTCCGCTTCTGCTCCTCGTACCATGAGCTGAATGTGTCCGGGACAGACCAGGGAAGATGGCGGCCACTGACCATTCCCGGTCCGAAGCTGCCAAACAGCGTCGGCAGGATCAGCTGCAGCGATGGCTGGGCTCGGACACGGATCGGACGGGCCCCGAGGCCCGGGAGACCTCGAGCGGCTCCGGGACGCGGCGCACGAAAGTCCGGTTCGCGCAGGGAGCCGTGTTTATGGCCGCTTGCTCCGCCGGAGACCGGGAGGAGGTGGCGGCGCTGCTCCGGCAGGGAGCCGACATCAACCACGCCAACATCGACGGGCTGACAGCTCTGCATCAGGTAGGAAGTTTAACATTACTCCAACTACCAACAGCTAGTTTTATTAACCAGTTAACTAACCAACCAACCAACTAACTAACCAGCCTGTGTGAACCCGGAGCTGCTGCTAACCGTCGCTGACTAGCGGCGGAGGTTTATCCTTTAATGAGCCTCGCAAGCGTTAACGCACTTTACGTTAGTCTAAAGATCCCCGTTGTTTTTTAACGTAGCGGCCTCCGCAGTAAATAAAATAAAACTTTATTGAAACTTCGCAGCAGCAGCAGCAGCAGCAGCAGCGTCTGTGGCCTGAGTGCAGGAGGCTCAGTTTGGTGAAGAGTCTGTTGGTCGGTGAAGAGTCTGTTGGTCGGTGAGATCATCTGCTCTGTTCAGTTATCTTCTGTCTGTAGCCCAGCGGGACACAGCAGCAAACTGGAGACGTTGTTAGATACACACTGACAGGGTTGTGACAGACAGTCCGTGCTGGAGGCTCCAAACACTGATCAATGCATTCAGGGAGGTTTTAAATATATGATCAATGCATTCAGGGAGATGTCTAACATCTGATCAATGAAATCAAGGAGGTGTCTAATATTTGATCAATTAATTCACGGAGGTGTCTAACATCTGATTAATAAATTCATGGAGATGTCTAACAACTGATCAGTGAATCATGGACATGTCTAACATCTGATCAATGAATTCAGGGAGGTGTCTAACATCTGATCAATGAATTCANAGAAAATTTCACAATAACCAAATGTGTTAAAATAATCAAATTTTACTGAAACATATTCGATAATGTCAAGTTTTTATCTGCTGCCTGAACTTTTTAACGTTCAAATATTCAGAGGCACATAAAAAGACTTGTTCAACATGTGGTGGATCGAGAAACAAGGAGGAAGTTGGACGACGGTGGCGTACCTCTGCAGGAAGCGAGGGTACGTCTGTCTGTAGGCGAAGCCGGCGCGCCGCACTCTGACGTTCTCCAACAGACCGAGGTACTCCACCTGATGGCGGCAGCGCTCCTGCTCGAACAGCAGGGGGGATTTAACGTCGTTGGGCTTGATGCAGCGGACATAGTAGGGCTCCTGCAGAGGGCACCAGGGGGCGACAGTGAGCCAACTGGACACGTATTTAATCTACATTCACAGTAACACCTGGTACACGCTCCTCACCTTGCACGCCAGGTTCTCCACCAGCGAGATCATGGAGTTTTTGAAGAGCGTGGCGGCGGTTAGCGGCCGTTTGGTGACCTCGGTGATGCTCAGTTTGCCCTCAGGCCACATCCCCTTCAGCACCGGGTTAGAACTGGACAGAAACAAGTAATAATAAAAAACTGGTTCATAACAAGCTTCGTATGTAAATACACAGTGAAAATACAAACTAAACTTAATGCGACAAGAGAGACAACCGGTAAAACATCTGATTTCACCAGAAAGAGTTTTTTAAAAGAGTTTTGTATGAACAGAGGTTACAACGCACAACATCTGAGTAACGAATATATTGCTAAGAATATAAAACACTCATTATAAAAATGTAAAATGTTCTGGTCCTGACATTTTATGAAAAATCTACTTTCTCATTAAATCATGAGTGTGTGTGTGTGTGTGTGTGTGTGTGTGTGTGTGTGTGTGTGTGTGTGTGTTACCTGTTGTACAGCAGTCTCTTGAAGTCCTGGAACAGCGTGTCTTTGTTCTTGTCAATGAAACCCACCACAGAGTACCTGTGAACAGAGGGAGGCAGGCTGTTGTGTTCCCCTGTTCACTCTGTGCTGCTCTGACCAGTAACACCAGTGATTCCCTTCAGTGTGCCAGCAGATTGAATTATTACTCACCGAGTTAAAATAAATCACAGACTGAGATGTTGGACACGCTCTACATCTTTGTGTAAATGGCTCTGGGATCAGCCGGCCAGGCCTAACACCCCTCACCCCCTCCGAGTCGTCCCTAAGGTGGGAGACACTTAGTCCTCACAAATGGGCTCAGCTCGTTTTTTTGGGGGGGGCTCAGCACGTGCGATTTATTCATTAAATGACGTCCAAGTACTTGAGGGACTGGGACACGCATGGTGCTGTCCCTTTAGGGCGCATTAAAGTGTCAATTAATGTTCCAAGCGTGTGCATGTGGAGAATCCTTAATCCTGCAATTAGCGATTTCTACGGCCACTTAGGGGCAGTGGAGACAAGCTGAGGATTTCGTCCTCCACCCGCTCGCTCGCTGAGAACCTGCTGGACATTTACCTGATGTCCTCTCACATGGACTCACTCAGTAAAAGTTCCACCGAATGTCTGGAGTTCAGTGCATGTCTGAGAAACTATAACAAAAAAACAAAGCTGCATTTTTGCAGGAAATGGATTTTAATACATTAAAGAGTCAGATGGAGTCTTTCAGGCCCATGAGACTTTTATTCTGCTCGTTCTTTTTTTTCCAGTTTTTTGAGATGTCAGTAAGTTTTCATTTGTTCCCAAGTTGCAGTAAAGTTTGTGTCTTAGATTTTTCTTTACGTGCACGTAAAATAATACTTTGGGAAACGAATACACAAAGAGGACAAAGTGAATCCCTCAAGCTATTTTATTCGTCCTGCCTCGATCCTGCAGTTTGAGTCGGGACCTCTGAGGCAGGAATATGTAAAAATGTACTAACGTGGGAAAAGGAGGATGAATCACCAGCTTTCCTGAAGAACTCAAACTGTACTTACATCACGTCTCCTGCGTAGTGCCTGATACGAAAGTCCCTGTCGAACTCCAGACTCTTGTCGGTTGGGGAGAGCTGCAGAGCGACAGAGAGCAATGAGTGAGCGACACGAAGGTTTCACCGAAAAATTAAATGTGAGGTCACAGTGACCTTTGACCTCAACAATGGAAGCGGTTCATCCTCGAGTTCAGAGGAATAAGAAGTTTTAGAGGATCTGGTGTCAGGTTCTGATCTGATGTGACTCGTTTGCATCTCCCTGCACATCTGGTTGTTTCAACCTCCCTGGACTTCGAGATGTGTGGTTTTCCGACATCTGGACAGCTTCTGTAAACTGTCCGTCCTTGTAAATACTAGATCGTATATTAAAACTGTCCGGACTCCTACGTCGTGGTGTGTTACGGCTCTAAACACATGTCAAACTGTGCAGAACTTCTTAGAGCTCCTGTGACGTCGGATGCAGTGGTGCGGAAAACACTGAACGCCGTCGGGAGGAAAGAGGAGGGATAGGAGAAGAGCGAGAGATCGTGAGAACTTGCAAGACTGTGACGAATGAGATTCCAGAATGTGGGCAAGAGAGACGAGGACGAGAAATGAACGTGACGTGATGGGAAGAGACGGAGCGAGTGAAAGAAAACGAGTGTGAAAGCGCATGTGGGGATAGTGATGCCTGTATTTAGGCCAGAGAGCAGGAGAGCATGAATGGGAAGAGGATTCTGATTCTTGATTTATTCACGACTGCAAAGTGTGAGATGTAGGAGTGAAGAAGAACGTGTGTGACATCAGAGATTAAAGAGGGAGAGAGAGGATCCTGCTCATCTCAATCCCAACAAGAACAGAGGAGCAGACGGAACAGAGATTAAAGCTTCGGCTACAAAAAAAAAAACTCTGTCAGCCCAAAGATACAGACATTTAAAAGAAAACACTTTCATCTTCACTTTATTTATTATAATCGATTATTTAATCTCCACTGTATGAAAGAATATGTATCTGAATAACATAGTAAAGTAAAGTTATAATGAAGTGTTTTGTGTAAAGTTGAGTTAGTTTGAATAAATCAAAGAACTTGAAGGTGAATTAAAGTGTTTCAATGCATTAACTTATGAATAAGTTTAACTTTGATCACTCTCAAGTTATTTGATTTATTCAAACTAACTCAACTCATAAAATGAAATTACATAGAAATTGAATCTGTAATTGAAAAATGTGAAAATGTTCTTAATCTTATATATTTAACAAAATATCTTAGAACATAATCAGTGGGAAACTGTGATTAAATAACTAATTAATCAATCAGTGGACTGATGTCTGCGAGTGTGAGAACCTTGGTGCAGCTTGACTGAATTTAAGGATCCGTTGAAGGAGTCAACAACCACAAACAACTCAACAAACCCCGACGTACGACTGTCAGTGTTGAAAAGACTTCACACAGTCCCGTTAACGTGATCATGAGAACTCTCAGCCCGTCGGTTCACTGGTTTCTGAGTGATGCTGCAGACAGACGGCAGTGGAAACGAAAAACAGAAGGAGGAATGTTTGCATCAGGGAGCTGAATGAAACCAGAATCAAACCCACAAAGAGCCTCTGAGTAAATCATCACATCCAAGTGAAACTCCTTCAGTGAAATCATAAAACTATTTACCTCCCTGGCACTTAGGAATCTACCGAAGCACTGAAGTGCCTCCAATAATCCTCTCTCAAGCTTTTTACTGCCAACGGCTCCGTGAACAAAGGACGGACAACGTTCGGAAGACAGATGATTTTGTTTGCAACACTTTCTGAAAGTACCACACTGAATAATTTAACGGTTCCAGTGGCGCTTCTATAATCTCCTAATGCTCAGGATCTTGATTTTAAGCTCGTCTGGACGCTCCCTGTGGGCAACAAACCCAGATTCTTCCAACTGTCCAGCGTCTGGCAGATTATCTGTGGAAACTCAAAACACACACACACACTTGTCAGAGGGAGAACATGAGTGACGTCTGCAGGACACACACACACACACACACACACACACACGAACGTGCACACACACACACACACACGAACGTGCACACACACACACACACACGAACGTGCACACACACACAGAACAGACAGACACACAGATGCACAGACAGACAGACAGCCTGCGTCTGCTGGAAGCCACAGTGCCCCTCATCCATCTCAATCAGTCACACTCCATCACACACACACGCACGTACACGCACGCACATCTTGGCAGCTTCATTATTAGCACCTCCTCCACGTTTGGGATTCAGCCGAGTGTTAAGACCGAGAGTGTGTCGCTGTCTAAGTGTGTGTGTGTGTGTGTGTGTGTGTGTGTGTGTGTGTGTGTGGAGAGGGAGGGCAAACCAATAGAACAACAAGGTCAGAATAACGATGAGCGGAGGAAGTGAAGAGAGGAACATGAACCAGAACCAACAAACGAGCAACTGCAGGAGAAGACTGTGATTCAATGTATATAAAAACCTCATTAACATTTTATTCCTGAGAAATATTAAAACTATAAACCACAGAGACAACAGCTCCTGGACACAGTGGGAGACGTTATTCCAGTTATTCAAAAATACCAACAAATATTATCCATAAATCAAAAATAAACACAATAGTTACAGCTCGATTATTGATAATTATTTCATTAATGCTTTACTGTGACTTCCTGTACAAATGATTCCTCTCTACCGGTTATAAAACTTATTCAAAAAAGTAATTAGAAAAATAAATAAGATGCATAAAATTGGCAAATAGTATTTCATTATTTAACCCAAGTTGTCGAGAGTTCGAGTCCAGCACCACAAACCCGTTGGAGGGAGAAGCTCGTGTAAATTCCTTCCCCTTTAGGAAACATAACTGGAGCGATGCACTTAACCTGCGGTGGCTCCAGTGGAAATGCTAGCGATGCTAATTCAGGCAGTAAAACACGGTGATTATGTCGAGCAGCTTCGGGCGTTTCGCTCCGTGAATGTGAAACAGGGATGGAGCTGAAGAAAAAAGAGCAAAGTCAGCGACAGGACCGACAAACCAGCTTCAAAATAAAACACCAGCAGCTCCAGTGAAGTGCTGAGGTTTCATCTGATCTGCTTCTTCATTTTTCCACTTGGTCGTTTGGTTTATTCAACCTCTGTGGAAAGTAATGAAGTTTCCTGATGTTTGTTTTCCTCAAAACCAAAAGATTCAATCACAAAAAAACACTTTTACTGGGACTGAACCAGAGAATATTTTATAGTTTTTGCTTTCAAAAAGAAACTCAGATGATTAATCAATTATCAGAAAAGATTATAATAAAACTAAATACTAATAGAAACCAGTAAAATTCATTATTTTCTTGCTTGTGTGTTTCTTTAGTAGAAGTGGAGGAATGATCAATTAAAGACATTTGTCAGGAGATGCAGAGACTCGACGTGGATGAAGGAACTTTTCAATCGTAATAACTCAAATAGAGGCAGAGCGGAGCGGGCGGGGAGAGACAGAAGCTGAGAAGATCTCAGGAACATGGAGAACTTTCTGTGTCAGGTACAAGAGATGATGAGAAGCTTCTCACCTTTAGCTCTCGTCACCGTGACGTGTCCTAACATTTCATTTCGATGGCAGCAGCCACTGAAGAACACGTCAGCTGTTTTAATCACCTGCTTATTCTTTAACCTGAGGCCAAACCACCGTGATGCGTGACCGTCCCTGACCCTGACACCTCTCTCCCTCCAGCACCTCCCGCCGTCACTGCTCCAGACATCCTGTCTGCCACCAGCGCACCTCCTGCTCTGCTGCCTCTGGACCGAGCGGACACCGGATCTCCTGAGGAGACGGCGTCTCCAAACCTGCCAACAATCCACAGTGGGCACCATCGGAGCAGATGACGGGGCGGATTCTGTGTCAGATGCCCGGCACACTGAGAGGCAGCTGTCAGAGGCGTTAACCCTTCGAATCTACATCGTCGCTCACACGGGATGAACTGTTTCCGCTGCTTAACGCTCCTGAAACATCAACTACAGTCGTCCATGCTGCTGCTGCTGACCTTCAGCCTCCCCGGAGCTGATGACCACAGTGTCTCCAATTAGCGTCACCGACACACGGCCTGTGAAAGCTTCACCACTTAGCAGCGAATTACCGGCAGGTGGGGAACACACATGTTCGTGCATACGTGACATAGAATCCTCTTAGTGTGCAGCACCTGTATTACACAAAAGAGGGAGGTGTTGATGGAGGGACTGTGGAAGAGGAGGAGAGGACGAAGCCAATAAAAAATTATTATTTCTCAGCAGACGGCAAAGCAACATGACACAGTGAGACGTGAAAGAGCATCTGCTTCTGTTCCTCATATCAACTTTCTCTCCCTTTACTTCCTTCTGCTGCCACGTCCTCTCAGGCCCGCGGCCAACACGCACGTGTTCTCACTTTCATTCTCCGTGCACCTCGACAGCACGTGTGTGCGTGTGAGCTGTCGCACACGCAGTTATCATGTGAACGCATGAGCAGAGTGTGTGTCTCTGTGCGTCAGAGCGCTGCAGACAGGTAGACGGCAGAGAGAAGACGGACCGTGGCCTCATTCGGAGAATATAACTGCAGAGGATCGTGTTACAGAACATCTCCTGGAATAGATGAGACTCTTCCTGAGCATCTCTCTGTTCTGTCTCCTCAGTTCCAAACAGGATTAATCATTTAACACTGAAGCAGAAGTTAGAGACGTTCGATCTAAACAGTATTAGATTTGTCTGCAGAGGAGTCGACGGGGTGTTTTCAGGAGCTACAGTATCTTCCTTTATAAAGTCAGGCAGGTTGCCTGAAGCTACAAAACCATGTCCCAAGAGAGGGTTTGATGTTTTCTGTGGTGATGCTGGTTGTGATTTTCCTTCTGAAACTGTAAAAGTGATCCAAGGAAACTGGGTTGCGGCAAATAAGGACCTGAATAATGTTGGTGCAGATCCAGATCAGGAGGTGAATCCAGACTTTAAATTGTGAGATGAGATGAGTTTAGGAATTTAAAAAAACAACTTATAATATAAATAAAACTGTTAATATGAAAGATATTCCACAACTGTGCTGTTTCTCTGGTCCCTGATTTCATGTTTCTTTTACTCCTGAACTCAACCAGTTCTCTCCTGCGAGCTCATTTCACTTCCTCTCACATTTATAGTGACTCCCACTCTCCCTCTCCTCCTTCTCTCTCTCTCTCTCTCTCTCACAACTCATGTTTCATTCCAACCTTCACACCTTTGTGCTGACAGACACACTTGAAGTGACGAGAACTAAGAGGCTGCAGCGACTCGCTGGGTCTGTGGAGTCTGCACAGACCCGTGCGCGCTTCGCACCCTCAGAGCCTTGAAATGATTTCACACCTTTCGAGTGCAGGTTGACATTTTGCTTCTATTTCGGTTCCCGCTAACACACACACAAAGAGAATATTCATTTTCCTCTTCTTCAGAAAGTAACTCACAAATGTCAAGCCTCTACTCTGCTCCTGAAATTAAAAATAAAGATGGAAAATAAAAATTTTTGAAATACAAGACAAAATGGATCTAAATAGGATATTAATAAAAGTAGTAACCAAGAATTAAAACGACAATAATTAATGTTATCAATGAGTTAATCCAACGAGCATCAGGAGATAACAGGTACAGTCAGTCTCCTCATGGGAAAAACAACTACAACTATTACTCCGACCACCAGGTGGTGCCGAGAACTAAGTGTTCAAAGATTCAAAGGCATTTTCATCATATGAAGAAAGTCATCAATGCAATGAAATTCTTTTTTTTTTTTTTAACCCACGTCAGTAAATATCTACATATAAAAAGTGTATAGAATAGAATTAAGTAAGAAAAACACATTTTTACTTTTAGAACATTCACCTTGTTTTTTTTCTTGTTGTGTATCTGATTGCTCGCATCCTTAGTTCTCCATTTCCTGTTTTGTTTTGAAATGACACTCGTGGTGTGTCTCTCCTGGTTTACTTCCTCGTCGTCCTCGAGCTTCAGTTCTGTTGTTCATTCATGGATTCACCTGTTTGTTTCTTTGCTGCCACCACGTGACAGTTTCATTTTATTTTTTTACATTTACTTTATCGTTGCAGATCCAGGACGGCGGCTGCGGCCACATCGTGGATTATGATCACAACTAGATAGCTTGAAATAAAAAAACGACTCGCATCTACAGTGGAACCTGTTTATAATGATCAAGGACATAGAGAACTACTGTTTATATGGATCAACAAGCTTGGGACAGAATCGCTCCTTTACAAAGGCTGTTTAAATAATTTGGTCATATGGACTAACCCGGGACAAACTAGCTCTTTCATTAACGCTCCTTCATCTCAACATTGATTCTCCTCATGTCAGATGTTGTCATTATAATGAATATATATAAACACACACACACACACACACTGGAGATCTGCTGAGCTGCCGACAGCTCAAACAACTTCCTGACTAAAAAAGTCCTGACGCTTCATTAACGTTGCCTGGCAACAACACAGAAAGAACAGATCTCTGGCCAACGCTGCTTCCAGGAAGTAACAGCCGGGTCACTGTACGTTTTCCAACCCTTCATTTCACCCGTCTCCTAAACTCGGGTCAGAGGGCGGCGGGAGGGCGACAGCAGGGGGGCGTATCGACTCCTGGACGATGGGAGGAAGTGAAGCTTCAGAGATCGATTCGCTCTCTTTGTCTCACACGATGTCATCGTGCACTTCATCCACTGAGAGGCGACGTCTGCAGGGTTCAGACGCTCAGTGCTCGGTCTTCGCCCTGGACTTTGCACAGAGCTTCACTTTGTAGTTTTCTTCCTCATCACATGTCATCACCCACAGTTCTCGGTTTCTCTGCTCATAAATGTCTGAACACGTCCCCTCCACCTCCACCTCCACCTCCCATCCCAGCACCAGCTCCACACACTCCCATTGGCTGGCAGTGACATCACTCGTGCAAAGTGTTGAGTCAGACTCACTGCTGGCCTCTCCACTGCCAGCTGACGCCCCCGTGTGTCCGCAGGGAAAACTGCACCCATCTGAATGAGTCTATTCATCGGCTCTGAACACGAGCTGAAATACTCTGCCCCCTGGTGTTCACAGGTTGGAACATACCGGCAACATCAGCACCTGATGTTCTGCTTCATTCTTTACACCAGGGATTGAACCAGATTCAAACCCATTCACTTACACAGCTGAAAATCCCTCTTTCAAGTCAAATGAGTAAGAACCTGCAACCACGGATCAAAATCCGTCATCGGAATCATTTCCTGCTGCTGGATTATTTGACCGTTTGCTGCAGATCCACCGAATCTTCAGTGTTTCCTACCTTGCGACTGGTGAAGTGGGCGTGTTTGGCGAGTTTTCCGTTGAGGCCCTGGAGAAAAACCTCATCGGTGACTTTGCCCACGTTCATGCAGGCCTCGTCGAGAACGGAGAAGATGCCTTTGTGCTGCTGCTCCACCAAATCCACGATGATCTGGTTATTGAAGTAATCAATCTGATGAAGGAACAACAAAAATATGCAAGAGGTTATAAAATATTCTGTCGACCGTGTTTTTCTATAATCTCTGTTAAAATAAAACATCAGTGAAGATAAAAGATATTTTCATTTGTGCATCTTCAACAAAATATTAATATTAAAAACCTAAAACACTGGCTGCTGTCGGCACAGAGGAATAAAACTAACAACAGATCCCCCCACCTATAAGAAATACATAAGATATATATATAAATGTATAATTCGTACGTGTTTCCAGGGGATTCCTTCTCTTTGATACTCTTCCTGTTCCTGCTTCAGCACCAGCTGGATAAACAGCTGCTGCAGCTTCTCGTTGCAGTAGTTGATGCAGAACTGTTCAAAGCTAAAGCACAAGAAACAGAAATGTTAATTCATGTTGACATTGAGTTATGAATGAAACCACATTTATAAATATCTCTACACTGAACAGCTGATGTTTAAAAGTATGAACAAACACCTGATGTGTCGATACAGATGATGATCCTCTGACGTTTCACCTCTAAAATGACACTCAGCCTAAAATTATGACTTTACTCTTTAAAATGTGCAACTTTATTTTGCAGGAAATCAACTTTTCCGTCTTTTCAATCAAGATTTTATATTTTGTGTTTGCATTTAAATCGTTTTGTTTGGTCGATTAATAAAATAAACTTAATGATTATTCATATTTTTGAAATCTTGTCTCTGTAAGTGGCCCCAACTCGTGGTGAATCTGATCCCAACCTGTTGTTCTGGAAGATCTCGAAGCCGTAGATGTCCAGGACCCCGATGACCGTGTTCTTCCCGTGGACTCTGGCGTCGTAGTTTTTCACCTCGATTACGTCATTGATTCGTCCGACGATCCAGCAGAACAGACGCTCGTACATGGCCTGAGGAAGATGAGATATTCGGTGTGAGACGTGCGTAATGGACCGTTTGGCCGCTTTGCTCAAGGGCACAGAGGAATCCACCACAGTGCTGGTGTTGAAGCTCCTGTCTCATAACATTGTGACTCATGCTCGTGTGGATCGCAGTGAAAATAACTCAGTGTGAAAGGTCACCACCCTGCAGGCCAACGCTGATCATTACACCGGACAAAGACAACATGGACGTTTCTGTCTTTACAACAACAACCTTGGCCAGAGCGTCCCGTCCGTAGCCGGCCTCCTGCGCCGTGTGCTGCTTCTCAATCACGTCTCGACCCGTGGCCACGGTGCGGTACAGCAGGGCCTTCTCCACGTTCTCCTCCTTGGTGGACAGCAGCTCCCTGATCACAGACACCAGCTTTGTGTTCTCTATCAAGGTCACGTCACCGTCCACCCCGAACGTCATATTTCCCTGGAGGAGACCAAAGATTAGATAGAGTTGTCGAGCGAAAACTACGGAACTGATTTCACTGACGCTTTCGGAGCAGATTCAAACAAAGGGGCAGATCCAGGAGTTATTTTTCACTTGTTTCAACACGTTTGTACATTTCTCAAGAAATATTTCAGATTTCCATGAAAAACAAAAAAAAAAGTTCTGGCTTATTTAGTTTTGGTTTTGTTACAGGAAGAGTTTCATTAGACTAGTTTGAACAGACTTGCACTAAGTCAAAGGCTTGGCTTAGCTTAGCTTAGCATAGAAAGTGGAAACTTTTGTCTGTGCACGTTAACAGCTAACTGGCTCTCGCTTGGTTAATCCTCCCATTTCCCAAATTAAGGGAATAAACATATTTCTCTAAATATCAAGGTTCTATCTAGTAAAGGATATTTTTTTTTTATTTCCACAGAAAAAAAGACTTACAGCTAATTAACAGAGCTTCTAATTATCATTAATTTAACACAGAGAAGATGTTATTCAGCGCACAGCGAATAAAAATCTGTTTACAAGCGAAGAAACAATTCAACAAGAGAAAATAAAGTTTCAAGTGATAAATAAATAATGACTGGATCTTGATTTGCCTTAAATGGAGCTAATGAAGCTATTTCAAGGAAATTCCTCAGAAAAGCAACAAGTAATGACTGTTTGAACCGTTTCCCCTGCAACTGGCACCAGGGACCCGTGAAGTAAAATTAAATGTGAGCTGCTTTTGCATCGGGTACAGAATATAATGATAGAAGAAACAAAACGAGTCACAAAGTAGAACTCAAACATCCACCGAGGCCAAACAATCCAAGTTCTTGTGGCGGAAATAAAAGAGAAAGTGGTCTGATGATGGAAGTGAGCTATTTGTCGTAAAACGTAGTTAAATAAAGTGACAAATCCACAGACTTGGATCTGAAATCTGCAACAAACTTTATTGGGTTATTCCCAGAGCCAGGTCCCTCTCCCCCTTTCATAATCCTGCTGACAAACAAACCAACACAGGGGAGCAGATATAAAACACGTGAAGGGTTTCACCAGATGTAGGATGGTGGCCAGGATCTTGTAAACAGTCTGAATCTCGTCCCCGGTGAAACCGATCACTTTCATGGCGTCGGCCACAGCTTTGAAATCAGCGCCGTCGTTGATGCTCGACTGGAGAGAGAGAGAGAGAGAGAGAGAGAGAGAGAGAGAGAGAGAGAGAGAGAAATGTTAGAGGAAGATGAAAACTAATTTATCGACAGGAATCTTATGAGCGTTCAAAGCAAGAATATCCCATTTTCACCAGTCACAGACTTTTCCTCCTCTCAGGATATAAAGTTCCCACAGTTCATCAAATAAAACCATGAGCTGTGACGCCTGGATGTTAAAACAGGAGCCGCACAGCGAACAAACCTGCACCTCAGCTGTTTGGAAGAATCCTGTTCCATGATGTCAGTCCAGTGGTTTCTACTCGTTAAGAGTAGAAGAAAACACCCTTTTCTTAAAAAACGCACGTCCGTACAGTACAATACAGCGTTTGTGATCACGACACACCCACAACTTGTAACATCTGTACGTTCTGCAAACAAACTTTCAAACCGCTTCACATGTGAAAAGATGCTCCACCTTAATCTGGCCTCCAACTTTGATGTAGTTGTAGGCTGTCGGGTCTTTCTGGACGTGGAGAGAGCGTAACAAGGAGTCTGGAGATCCTCGGAGCAGCTGGCGGAGCAACAGAAAACACACACTTCACTTAAAAAACACCTCGGGCAGTACTTATATACAGCGCAAATATATTTATCACGATGCCGACTGTGAAACTTCACAAGCACGAATGAAGCACGTGAAGTGAGATCCGATCTAAACGGGTCAAAGGAGACACACTCAGGTATGAACACACCTGCAGGACGGAGGTAATCACCAGTTCTGAACTCGGCTTTAAATACTGAACGTGACGCAGCCTTTAGCTTTGGAGTCTTTAACCCGTCGTGGATGAAAAGATCTGTCTTGTCTCAACTCATTTTTTAATTCACGATCCTTCTAATTGCAGGAAGTTGAGTCACTTCCCGGTTTCCACCTCACCTGGTAGAAGGAATGAAAGCTCCTCTCTCCTTCCTGCTGGAAAATCACCCTGGACTGTGGAGCGGGAAAAAGCAAAAACACCAAACAGTCACATCATGTTTGTACAAACACCCACTGCTAATAATAATACATTATATTTATAGAGTACTGTTGTGGATAACAGGATAAAATGTGGCTTCAAGGAAAATCTGCTCCATTAAGTCGGAGGGAATTTAAATGAAATAAAAGCTGCGTCCACTCGTCACAGAAAGGAAACGTCTATAATATAATAATTTAAACTAATAGAATCCGTCTTTCCTTCTGGTTTCCTCACTAACGTTTCTTCCTGCAGCACCAGGCAGTGGAGGCACTGAGGCCGAGATGGCTTCCATGTGGAACACATTGTGAGCAGATGCTCGGCTGAGAAAACACAACACATTAAACCCTTTTCCTGGACTGACACAACAAACAGAACGTAACATTTCAACGAACGCGCGCGAGCATCGCAGCTCCTTCATTTTCGTCCCTCGGGTGAGTTTTACCTTCTCCAGCAGGTAGTTGTTGATGTGGCCTCCGATGGGATCTCCTTTAAAGTCAAAGTTGATGTCCATGTACTTGCCGAAGCGGCTGGAGTTGTCGTTGCGGTTGGTCTTGGCGTTTCCGAAGGCCTCCAACACGCAGTTGGATTTGAGCAGCATGTTTTTCACCCTGAGGGGAGGCAGGACCACAAGGAGCGTGAAGCGACTAAGTGCAACCAGGTTAAAAGAACGAGCGCTGGAAGAAATCTAGAGACTCAGATGTAAAACGATCACGACACAGATTTCCATGAAACTGGGTGGAAGGATATGGTAGAAACTTAAATTCTTAAACTCTTCACATTTATTTTTTGGGGCTTTTCTTGGATCTTGAAGAAAATATCAGACACGTTTAGAGGATTTATATTAATGAGTTAATTGATTAGATCTAGTGAATTTAAATGTGGTTTCATGAGGATACTTGGCTTTAATTCTATGTTAGAACTTAAAATCTGACGAGAACATGAAAGTAAAGGAAATGCAGTCACTTGATTTTGAGCTCTACTTCTGAATAATCACTTGTCAGGCTACGAGGGTGAAGACACAACCTACAGAAATATACGTTAAAACCTCACTCCACACTAAAGCCTCTTGTTTCCCTCAGGTTGATTTCAACATTGTTCAATTCTAACCATGACCATCGTGTCATATGTTGTAACATGGGCTCTATCTACAGGAACAGCCCACACACACACACACACACACACACACACTCTCTCAGGGAGTAAAGTCGAGCTGAGGTGGAACCATATCTCAGTTTGAGCTCAGAACCTTTGGCTGCCAGGGTTAATCGTCAGAATGTGACAGAGACTTCGCACTAGCTGAGATAAGATAATAACTCAAGATGGAAAATTCAACACCCAGGAAATAATATATTGACTCTCTGAGGCACTGAAGAAACATTTTTCTCTAACGGGTAGAAACTGAATAAAACACTTCATTTGCAAATGTAAACATCCTGTGTGTCTGCAAACCACGGCTCTTAACGAGGTTTAAACTGAGTTTTGAGTAAAAATGTCCGATCTGATAACATTCACCACTTTATCACCAAACTCCACCCGAGCTCGGATTCTTGTGTGTTTAGGTTCAACAGTGTCAATAAGAGCGGCTCACCTCTCGACCTCAGCCCTCTGGTTGGGATTAGTGATGGCAGCTATGTACTGCATGATGTACTTGCTTGCCTCCGTCTTTCCGGCTCCACTTTCCCCTGAAATGATAAAAAGCAAAAACAAAAAGAGAGAATCAATAAACATAATAATTAATAGTTTACAAATTAAACCAACAGACCTCATGTGTTTGTACTCTTGTTTATTTAATGATGTAGGTCTGTTGTTTGTCTGCTTCATAACAGTTTTAGTGATTTATTTCAGTGTTTTCCAAAAATATTTTTATTAAAGAAAACAACAGATGTAAAAGAAAAAAGAAGGAAGAAGAATCTTAAAGTACCTTTCATATAAATAACATTAACACACATCCTTTAATTTATTTCCTTTCTTTTCACAGTCACACAACAATTCAATTATTCATAAATCTCATTTATAGGGTCACTAACATGAACAGAATGAAACCTATTCTTAATAAAGATAAATATTCAGTCCAACATCACATCTGTGTGCTTGTCTGTTTTATCTGAATCAGGGTTTTGAGGCGCTCAGCCCCGCCTCCGACCACCAGGTGGCGCTTCCTCCTCTGTTTGGTTCCTCCATGCTTCAGGAAACACTGAATTCTGAATTCATCATATTATTGAATTGGGTTCATGTGAATATTCAAACAGGACTGATTCGCTACTACGGGAGGGGGTGGGGTTGTTTCTGGTGTTACCTGAGATGACGATACAAGTGTCCTTGTTCCGCCTCTTCATGGCTTTGTACGCAGCGTCGGCGATGGCGAAGAGGTGCGGCGGCCTCTCGTACAGCTCGCGGCCCTTGTACTGCTCCACGGTGTCGCGGCCGTAGATGTTCATGGCACGGTAAGGATTGACGGACACGACCACCTCCCCGATGTAAGAGTAGATCCTCCCCTTCTCAAACCTGACGACACAATGACAATGCAATGAGGGAAATTATATAAAGTATTTCTACATCATCGTTAAGTTTGAAGAAATTCACTAAAAGGATTATTTGGGGCCGTCACAGAAACTCTCGTGAAACTCAAGGAATCAGAAGTTTAAACCATTATTTTCCAGTTCTTCTCCTCCTCTACCGGCTCCACCTTTAAGAACATCCCCCTCCACCTGCTTATTGTGACAGGGAGGTGAAACTCCGACAGAGAAGCAGAGTCGGATCTCACTGACGAGCTCCTGGAAAGTCTGGACCCGGTGGTTTCGGTGCAACTATCACGTATGGGTGTAATGTTCAGGTGGCCACATACTTTTCCTCTCACACTCCTTTTCTGTACCCTACCCTCTCTCCCTCTCTCTCTCTCTCTCACACAATCCCTCTGTCTCTCAGCCCGAGGCCGCCCGCCTCACTTCCTTCCTCTCCAAAGACGATCCCAGTTTCTCTGCACAGAAGAATGATCCCTTTCTTCACAGCTGCCAACCCTCTGCCGCTGCCTCGCAAACAAGGCCACAAGCACATTATTCCAAAACGCTCCTAATAGCTCTATGCAAAGTATTTGTGATTGTGGGTTAGAGGCCACAAAACCTCAATCAGTTTCATATTTGTTTAAAGACAAAGCCACGGATTGAAACTCCTCTTTTTTAGGCTCGAACCAGCAACTCGCTCATAAAAGTACGAGTCAAACAGGGAAGAACGCAGCAGAGTCGTCAGAGATGGTTTTAAATAAAGAGCAAAACATTCACAGTGAATGACTTGACCCTTTTTAATTCAATCTTATCTTCTCGAAACTTTCGAGAAGTCTCAGTAAAACACTGATGATAAAAATAGAAATGTTTCCATCGCAGACAAAAGTACATTTAAAAGTGCAGAAAGTGATATTTTAAGAAAAAGTTTCCACTCGATCAAAATCTTCCCGGCACAAAAGGTCACATTCAAAGTTCCGCGGACACTGTGGTCATTTCTTCAGGCGTCCTTCAGAAAACAGGACAGAGGACGAGTGTGCGACGCTGAGCTCATCCTCGAGTGTTCAGGTTGACATGTGGTTTTCACACTGCGCGCAAACCGGTTCCAAACAGTGACGCTCGTGTGTCGGACCGGTGGTCGAGCGGAGCAGGGAGGGGGAATAAAAACAAGGCAGCCATTAGTCTGTATTTATTTCTGTTTAGTTTATGAATCGCGGGGCAGTTCTATACTTTAAAAACCAACTTAAATACTTAAATTTAAAGAAAACAATGTAGAAATTAAAGTTCTAAATAATATTTGTTTGCATTTTAATATTTGATTTAGTTATTTATAATAAAGTTTATGGTTAAACTGTAAGATATGAATCCTAAATAACATTTCTTTGCCATAAGGATTTGATAACGACACCTTTGTAATATATACAGATATATACATATATTGATATCAGACATCTGTCAGCTACGCTAACACGCTGGTTCTTCCTCCCTTGGTGCCAGAGACAAGTCTCATTGTGCCGGGACGCTGCCGTGTGCCCGCTCCATTGTTCAGGCGTCAATCGCACGTCTTTGTCTGAGACGTCTCCCTCTGCACCGGTCGACACAGCGAGAGCTGCCCACATAACACACATGCACAATGTCCTCTGCAGGGGGGGGGGTGAACAATGGTTTACACGATGGGAGGGGTCCCAGCTGTTTATAGAAGGAAGGGGACACTGTCTATATTCTGACATCTGGGTGAAACCAACCTTAAACAACATGGCGCCCGGTCGTCACAGACTTTCACATACTTGCCTGACTCAGCATTTAATGATGAATCTGAGTCGTCTCATGTTGGTATCAGTATCTGAATATCTGAATATCTGAATATCTCCACCCACCCATCAAATCCTCACAGTTTGAGAAGCTGGAGCAGGTGACATGAACAAGGAAGGAACAGAACTCCAGTATTTTTAAAATACGACCCAGCGGCCGCGGGGATAAGCTGTGAAGCTGTTATTAGTCGAAACAAGAGCAGAGACGATGATGAAGAGATAGAAGTGGAACAGCAACAGATTATCTCCTCGTCCTTCATCCTTCCTACAACGACCCCGAGGGTCAAACGCGGAGTAACGAGAACACGTGCTGAAGAGCTCTGGACAACAGACGGCACCATAACGGACCGACAGAGGACACGACGTGTACACAAACACACACACTAACACACACACACAAACACACAAACAACATCTTGTACATATTACTGATTGATTTCTTCATATGTAGGAATTAAATGTCTAAACACAACGAGACCTGTTTTATGTTTGTATTCAAGGTAACAGGACGTTTCATTCTGTCTCACTGTAATTACGACTTTGTATGATGAATGAAAAACACTTGGTCACTCGTAGTGGAACGTAACTCGCAGCAGCTGCAGGCTAAAGGTTTGAATCCTGTTTTATGACATACAGGACTTTTCATTTCTTAAATGCTGAGCCTGTGTGTCTCTCGGTAACTTTTCATTTTTGCTGTCTGGGTGAAAGAATTGTGGTTTTGGGACAAACGTGAAGCAGAGACAGACAGAGTCGTATACAATGCCACAACTACAGCAACAGTGTGTCCAGCCCCGGGGTAGAGATGTTTTTATTTTTCACATCCTTATTCACCTCTTCAGTCTTTTCTCATTTTCTCTTTTTTTGTGGGGAGGGGGGAGGGGAGGGGGGGTGTTGGTGAGAACACGTCATAAATTGCTCACACTCCTCCCTGAGTTAACCATAAAAAAGACCCACCCAAACAAGATTGGAGACAGCGGTTGTGCTCGGGTTTGCTCTGTAATTCATATCTGAGGAGTTTGTCATGAATGAGTGTGTGTGTGTGTGTGTGTGTGTGTGTGTGTGTGTGTGTGTGTGTGTGTGTGTGTGTGTGTGTCATTATTTTTCCTCAGATGTTTTAGAACAGACAAAGTTCCTCGGCCGAGAATTTTCCCGTTTGTGTGTAAAACAAATCTTTGAAGTCACTTTTTTACCATTGTGTGTGTGTGTGTGTGTGTATATGTGTGTGTGTACATGTGCGTAAATGTGTGTGTGTGTGTGTGTGTGTTGTGTTATAAGTGCCCCATTTGTGAAGTTGTGAAGTCGTCGTTCATGAGCTTTAAAGTTGGAATAACAAGTTCAGATTAAAATCCGATTGTAAAATTATGTTAATTGATTTGAGATCTGGGTCGTTGAACTCCTGACCCAGGAGTTACACATAAGTGAGTCACGATATATAAATATGAACCCAAAATAAAAAGCCAAAAATAAAGTATTAGTGAACGAACTTGTCCTTTCACTTCATTCTGTCCGTCTCTCTTTGATTCTCTCGCAGCCTTTGGGAGCGGTGGTCTTTGGACAGAGTTCACACGGCCGCAGGTCGGATCAGTTCGGACTCACTTCCCTTCACAGCTGGACGGACGGAGATGAAAAGCAGGAAACGGAAGATGATATAGAGGGAGAGAGTTTATATTTCTATTTAATTCAGTCCCGCAGCTTTTCACAGCGTCAAACTTTTACTCGCTTTAAACTCTCAACATTTCTAACCTGTGCTGGTTAAAGAACAGATGTTCATGTTGCCAAATTTAAATCTGATTCAGTTTCCATGCGCCTATAAATAGCATTTCTGTGAGTCTATTATGACCCATCAGGTTCTCTAATCTCTGTCCTGTGTCATTTAAATCCTGCTAAATGAGAGTGGAACAGATGGATGAGGCCTGGATCTCAGCTCACACGCTCCAACTCTCTCCTCCTCTTGTCTCTTCTCTTTGATGCTCTTCTCGTAAGATATCTTTGCATATGGTCTCTTATTCTCTCGTCTCTTTTCCTATCGTCTCTTCTCTCTTATCCATTCATGTCGTTTCTCCTCATTCAGTATCTTCTTTTCACGTATCATCCATTCGCATCTTCTCGCTGAGTGTCTCCTTTTCACATGTCCTCACTCTCGCATCTGTGCAGCTTCACAAGGATTCGTGATGATTTTAAATGGTTTGATTGCGGTTTGTTCATCCAGTGTGTGATGTTTGAAATGCAAACCACTGAGCTGGACGGACACACCCAATGGTAACATTTAAACAGAGACCTGATGTACGCTTGAATGAAAAGTGATTTTGTCTGAACCTCTAGTGGGAAAAGTCAAACTCAAAAGAAAGAAAGTAAACACGAGTGTTGGCTCTGGATCAGTTTTAATCTTTGTCCACTCTACAACGATGCACGTGCCGGTGTTAACAGGAAGTATCTGGATGTTGGTTGCAGAAAGAGCTCGGCTACAAATGAGAAGCAGCAACGACGAAAAGGGTCAGAAACATTATTAATTAGCAGCCGAGGCTGATGCTAGTTGTTTCCTTCCCGCAGAGGTCGTGTCGACGTCATCGTTTCAAAACACACGGACTAAAACGCAGCTGCTGCATTTTCGAGCTAAATCAGAGCCAGCGGCGTTTACACGGCTCTGAAACTGGTCACCAGGCAGAAAAACGTAGTCGTGTGGATGTAGTCTGAGTTTCACACAATCCTTTGTCCTCCCTCCTGTTTTCATTCTGCGGAGGCACCAGAAACGAGTCAAAGTTCTCCACCTCTTCCCTCCTCCGTGTACAGTGTGACCGAGGCCTCCTCCAGTCCGCAGACATCTGGGTTCTGCATTAGGGGATTTTCCGCTGCTCTTTAATGCTTAGTGCGAAACGGCAGCTCTGAGACTTTCTGCAGGAGACGCAGCAGCTCATCAACACATCCACCCTCCCACCGGCCCACATTCATCTTCTCCCCGAATCAGAGGAGTGAGTCTCGCTGCTACCGGCACAGCGGGTCCTAAACAGAGACGGATTATGTAAGACTTTCATGAAAGACTTTTTTTATGACCTTCACACTCGAGATCAAAAAAAGAAATTCCTCAACTATTACAGCAGCAGTTTCACCACAAAGATCGAAGTTTGCTCCGTATCCGGGATTCAAACCATCAACAAGGATTCAAATGGTTTTTTTTTTTTAAATGTGGGTAATTTAG